CGGGCCTGTGATCAGTTATTATTAAGCCCAGCTGTCAGAATCTGACACTACATGCCGGTGCTAGTGCTGCCTCTCAGCTAATAGAGGAGGGCAGTTTTGAGTTCACATATTGCAGCGTCGGTCCTCACAGTTGGCAAAATCCTGCTGGAGGTTGCAGGCTATGCAATTAGAAAAATTATCATTAATCATAATAGTGGGCAATGATATTCGCAGTATAATATACCTTCATCATCTCTGAGCTGCAATTCTGAAATCCAAAACGCCCTGAAAAACTTTCTGTAACTCATTGCTGGCAGAGCCGAACCTGAGCTGCTGCATTAAGACTCGAACCTGCCCCGTGCTGATGAGGCTTTTCCTCGGCTTTATTTGTCCCGAATCACCGGCACTGATGTGTTCGATTGCGGACCACTGACCTAGACCCGCTGAAGACGTTATGTGATGCACAGTATCCATACTGTCTTGCCTTTTAAAATGCAAAACGTTAATTTCATGTGGCATTACCTTCTCACTATGGCAGTTAGGCTTTGCTGAGTATGAAATCATGGCCTCTACGAGTGAGTTTTTCACGATAGTGTGTCCCCTCTCTTGATCTCCTGCCTCGGCACCATTTAAAAATGTCTCTTCTGTGGCACCAATCACAATACATTGTACTTGATTGTTTTCCAAACTTGTTTTACTTCTATTTGACAACTAGCACTGCTTTTAGTAAATGCTCACTTAACCTTTTGAGTAAATGAAGTTAAGAAAACTAAGAACCATCTAGTCCTTCCACACAAATATTGCTGTATGTGAAACTCTTGTCCTGTTGAATTTCATTCCACTGCCTACTTTTATAGATACACTGGGCCTGTTTCTATTGTCTGAACTTAAATAATATGCGTAAGTCCTCAGCCATGTGAGTTATGCTCTCCGACACTATTATCGTTCTCTTTCCGATTATCATTCACATATAGGCCCCCCTTCACACTGGGTGCTGTGATGCATGTTGAACAAAGTTTTAAAGAATATTTTCAAAACTCAGCTGCATGTGCTTGGATGTATTACATACTTCTACATGCCCTAGTGTAATTATATATCAGGTAAAGCTTCCCACGCATAAGCTCATTTCCGTTCAAAGTTACTGTCTGTTGATGCAGTTCTACTGGAATAATTAAGAATTTTCTTATTGCTGAAGTTTTTTAATTATTAGTTTAAAATACAAGATAATTCCAAATTTAATTGCTGTTCTATGTTATTAATTATTTTCTTTTATACTAGCAGTAGCAAAATAATGCCCTGGCTGCTTTGGCTCAGTGGATGGAGCGTAGGCCTGTGGACTTAGGAGTCCTGGGTTCGGTTCTGGTCGGGGGCAGATGCCCGGGTTGTGGGCTCGGTCCCCAGTAGAGGGCATGCAGGAGGCGGCCGATCGGTGGTTCTCTCTCATCACTGATGTTTCTGGCTCTCTCTCTCTCTCCCTCTCCCCTCCTCTCTGAAATGAATAAAAAATATATTTCTAAAAAAAGTAGGCAAATACAATTATTTTGTCATAGCATTATAAATAACTTGAACAATGGTGGCATGTACTCTAAATTGGTATAGTTTGGGCCTTTGTCCCCAGTAATATTAATAATACTTTACTTTGTGGTTGTTACTTTATCCCCCTTGATCTGTTAAACTGGCCATCCAGTAGCCCCAGTCTGTTTCTCCTGTCACGGCTCTGTGTTTGGCACAGCAGTTCTTCAAAGTGAGGTGGGAGAAGAGGGTGCCCTTCTCTGCCAGCTCCCTCAGAATGTTAATGTTCATCCTCTTTCCTCCCACCCTTAGTCATGTCTGTCCATCACCAGAATACATGAGAATTTGGAGTTTTAAAATTAAACACATAATTAACATTTTAAAGGCAGATTGTAATAATCGAGGCAAATGATCTTGGGCACGTGGCATGTATTTTTATGTACTTTAACACTGGTTCTGCCTCGTGGATTAGAGCAGGCAAATACTTGGCTACATTTGAGTGGAGGCCTTCCCATAGCATGGTGATAAAGATTCTTTCCTATTTTGGAGGACCAAGTATTTCCGTTTAGATTGGTTGACAAGATTGGCATTAAAGTTGCTAAGGGACCCATAATATCCCTTTATAGCAGTTCAATGAATCAATTCCCAGTTCTCAACTTTTACTGACTCGTGACTTTAGGAAATTTTTATAAATAAAAGGTGGAAGGACATTAACAGATAATAGAAGTTTAAAATAGAACAGTCCTTTTTCTGAAACAACTCTTAAGGTGCATAAAAATGTAGATAAACAAGTAATCCATCTTGACCAGAGTATATAATATAGCAATATAATGGCAGTACAGAAAACCTAGAAACTTTTGAGGTAGTAATAATAGTATACCAGTGGTTAAAAGATGTTTTCTTGAAGTTGTAAAGCCTGAAATTTAGGAAGTAAGTTAATATATTGTTAAGGATTAGTTGAAGGTTTAATATATTCATGAATGAAGACAGCAGGGGACTTTTACCCTCTGATTAACACTGTGGCCATTCTGGGTTCAGCAGTGAGCGGTGCGCAGGAGTTCACCCCCTCACTGGCTGTGCGGCCACTGCTGGGGCACCTTCATGGTAGACCTTGAGAAAAGCTCTTCTGTGGACAAACCTGAGGTTTGATGCCGCTTAAAGCAGCAATCCCAGCTTTGTTATGGTTGTTCTGATGTGTTTTTTCCCTCTGAAAAGGAACGAGGGAAATGTGGCTAATAAAACTAGCCCATTAAATTTCACTTTGTTTTTGATGGAAATATTTCCTCCTATAAAATGTAACGACCATGACTGATTGCAGAGGTTGTTTACCATAACCAGACTGTCCCCGAGAGGCAGCTCAGAGCAGGTCCATGGAATCCAGATAGCTGATCAAAAGGCCTGTGTGGGGCATCATGGAAAAGGACCGTGAGAGCACGTACGTTCAGATGTGGTCTGCTGTTTTGACGTTCAGCCCGTGTTTATGACTGAGTTAAGGTTCGAAGGTGAAACCCTTGGTGAGGTTTTTAGTCATCAGTGCCTGCTGCACAGGAGGCAGGAGAGGACTCACTTCACCAAAAAGTGTCCTGGGACCTAATAGTGTTACAGTGAGGTATTGGAATGTTTTTATCCGAATACGGACAACTAGGCAATTGGAACAATTGTCTTAGTGCCTTATTCACATGAAATTCATGAGTGCCTGTTTTATGTATGAACAGATTGATTTAAGAAATATTTATTGAACACCTACTGCTTGGCAGGCAGTGTTGTAGGTACTGGAAATTCATCATTTAAAACAGATGAAGTTCCTGCTCTCCAAAGAGGCCGTGTCTTGGGTCTCACACTCTGGAGAAGTGATAGCGGTGTATTTCTTCCTGTCTGAGAGGAGAGATTGCTGTCTGAGGTCGGACACCAGTGTGCGGGGAGCTTCGCCTGGGAGACTACAGCTGACGGCAGCGGCACCCTGTGGCTGGGGTCCTAAGCTCGCACTCTCAGACGGCCTGTGGTTCCCAGCTTGCTCTTGTGTTCATTCCGTCTTGAAGTCCTTTCAGATGTCCCAACTGGCCCTGTTTCCTGCAGCCCCCCGTCTCCCCTGTGCACCCTGCAAGCTCAGTGCATTGCTTGGAATGACTAAGTGTGTCTGCTCGTGTGCCAGTGTGCGCGCGTCTGTGCTCGGCCAGGCTGGATGCTGCTTCAGGAGGCGGGGGCAGTGGCGGGTTGCAGTGCTCTCGTGCTTCATGTGGGCTTGACTACAACTACTGTCCTAAAGTTACTTTAAATCTGAGCAATTTCTTTAAAAAGTGTCATACATTGAATTATTTTTAAAAGATGCTTTACATTTCTTCAAGGTTAGTTTTCTAGGATAAAGTCAAACCACTTGGTGTATATAATCTTGTTTTTAAAAACTGTACAGATTGTGCTGACATGAAACTTCTCGATGGGACCCCTGTGCTCGCTAAGAGTTGTTTTTCGTGTTCACAAGCCCATCGCCGGTAGCTGTAGGGCGGGCCACCCTTTCTAATCAGGAACAGTAGCATGGCTGTATCTAATGTCTCTCTTATTGCAGAGGGCATTCGGGGCCTTTTTCTCTGTTATAACTTCCTCCCACCTTCCTTCTCACACGGTTTATGCTGGAACGAACGTTTCTGTTATGATTTCTGTGTTCTCTGTATAACTGATCACTGTCAGAATTCACAGACAGGCAGGCGGTGGAAGTTCCATTGTGTCAGGCCAGTGTTCTCTCCTGAGCACCCATTTCAGAGAGGATTTCAACAGCACGGCCCCCACGGGGCCAGTTTCCTCTGGGGCAGCCTCCCTCCGTGGGGAGGCGTCTGCGTCAGAGCCCGAGAGTAAGAAGCAACCAGCAGTTTATGGGTCACAAACTGAAGTGCCACTCACGCCCATTCATTAATTGGGTGTAAATTCTGCTCAGTCCTTTGTTCCTCAGCCTTTCCCTGGGACTAAATCGTGGATCCTGGCGTTGCCATTTAGGTTCATTCTGAAGAATTTTCCGTACAGAATTTTAATTTTTAATGAATTAAGTGAAGTGGACCATATAAGAGCAGATATAATTATCAAGTAATTAATTGAAACCCCTGAAAAAAAGGTAATTTTCATTTTAGACTTGTTTTTCGTGAGTGGCAAATTTAAAAAATCTGGTATGCCCAGAGTACTCTTGTAGATTCCAGCATTGTTTTGAATGAATGAGGTGATAAGTGAATGGATGACTGTTATTGTAAGTGCCTGAGTTACTATATTTCCATAGTTCTGATGTAAGAATATTCATGAAGATCTTCGTATCCCAACCTAAGTGAGATTTCCCCTTTACAAGCCTGGATCCTTCCTACTTCCAGTCCCTCCCCTGGTGGACTTGCTGACTGTCATGTTGCAGTTGTTTTCAGTCCTTCTGGCGGAACAAGGGTTGGGAAGTTATGTTTGAGGAAACTGTTGTAAAAGCGCTGACGCGCAGGTGACTGAGCAGGTTCATTTGCTGACCTTTTCGTCGCCGGCAGGTGCTGGGTCCCGCTCCCAGGTGGTGTTCCTTCTTAGACAACTTGACGGAGGAATTGGAAGAGAATCCGGAAAGCACGGTGTACGATGACTACAAGTTCGTCACCAAGAAAGACCTGGAGAATTTAGGTAAGAAAAGAAATTAGGATAAACTGGTTCTAGCTGACTTCGGAACAAGCAGATGTACAACTGCAGTTGAATGTTAAAACCCTGCAATAAACAGATTAATAGAGTCTCTTAAACTTCATTTTTATCCGATATCTCATAGCACAGTTAACCTAGGCAGAATCTTTTCTACCAAGTGCCATCAGAATAGCGCTTTACGCTTTGTCCTCCTGTAAGGACATCTTATTACGGCCATCTCTTCAGCTTCCACGGAGAACGGGAGCAGCCGTGCTTCCCGAGAGGTGTGAGCGAGCTGCTGCGGAGGCGATCCTCCCAGCCAGCCTGTTAGCTCACCTGCTGATCAGATAGGAACCACGCAGATAACTCCAGAGGGAGAAGCCGTCCCATGCTGAAACTTTAGAAACCCCGGGGCAAGAGGATAAAGGGAGAAAGGAGACATTTCCCCCCAAACTTCCGGGGAGTCAAAATTAAAAGGAAAAAAGCTGATAGTTGGAGTTTAGGTACATTTAAAAATTTTTATATGTAAAAAAATATATATTTTATATTGAAAGTCCTGCTTTAGATTGCACAGTCATTGCATCAAGTAGGAAAGTGGATTTCTCTCTTGTTTTTTATTCCATTGTTTCGTTGGTTTTTTTTCCTAATGCCTCATGCAGATTTACAAGAAAATAATTAACTAATAGCTCTTTAAATTGTAATGTTTAAAAAGAAAAGAGTTGTATTCAGCCTTTTTAAAGGAGACTTGTGAGTGAAATGGGGTGAAGTAGGAGCTTCCTGCAGGCGTCTCTCCAGTATAATTTCCACCGTGGGCTTATGTCATACCCACCCACATTCGTAACTCGGACAATAGAAGTCTCCTAACTCTCATGTTTAGTACTTTTGGCTGCTTTTTCAGTTTCTTTACTGAGTTTATTTTGGGTGAGGAAGGTAGTTAAAAAGGTTGAGATATATTTTGTTAAAATGTCATTGTACTGTCCATTTTTAAAACTGTACAAATAGATATTCAGCAAAATAAGTTCTACTAGAAATAATTTCATGTACATTATTAATATAGTTTAATATTAAATAAGCCATTGGTTATCATTTTTCAACAGATTTTACCATCATATATAAAACCTTTTCAGTAATTTATATTAAAAGTAGAAGTAAGGCTTTCTAACTAACTTGCCTTTTTTCTTAAGATTAGTCACATTAAATACTTAGAAGTGCTGAGTTTTCCCAGCTATGGCCTTTACCAGATCCTATAACATGCTATTTTCCAAAATGTGCTCCGTGGAATACTATGTCTGCAGGAAGTGCTGGGCGGGGAGCACTGTGGCCACTGTCATGAGATTGGAGACAGACTGACATGGGCCCGCATCCCACCTCTCCTGTGACTTGGCCAGTGTACTTAACCTCATATGCCTTGGTTTCATCATCCATAAAGGGGCAATAATAATGGTACCTCCCTTCGGGTACTTGGTGACTGAGGCGGACAGTGCCTGGAAAGTACTCAGCACTATGTGCTGAGTGTCTAAACATACAACGTGAATGTGAATTACTATTGTAAGAGCTTCCCTAAGGACCTGCCCTCTTCTGTTAACTTCCCCCAGGGCTCACGCATCTCATTGGATCACCTTTTCTCCGGGCATATATGCATGGATTTTTCATGGACATAAGACTCTATCACAAGGTAAATACAGAAGTGCAGTTATTTTAGGTGACTAATGAGCGATCTATAGACATTTCTTCTCTACTGATTTATATTTTCATAAAACATACTTATGATTTATCAGAAATCTGTCTGTTCTCTGACATAATAGTTATGGTGAATATGAAACATGTTGCTAAATACAATTCTTTAATTTTTTTACTTTGAAAAGGTGAAATTGATGGTAAATCCATTCGCTTATGAAGAATACAGGAAAGATAAGATCCGACAGAAGATAGAAGAAACACGGGCACAGAGGGTCCAATTAAAGGTAAGTATTGTGCTCACCATTGAATTTGCCAGAGAAAAATACTTAATTTTCATGTTATTGTTCCAAAGAAGCCCGTCATCCATTTCTGAGTTTTTCCATCTTTTGCTGATTTTTTTGGGGATTATATTTTATTTATCATGAGGGTTTCATCATTATGGACTCTGTGGCAGTGGTATCGTGGGAAATAATGCCAGGGGGCCTGGTGTTGTCGCCCTAAGAAAATCGACGGAGTTTTCCAGTGGCCACTCGGATTCTGGAGGGCGGGGCCTTTGCTCATCTCCACTTCTTCCGACAGTAGGCTGCGCTCAGGCTAGCTGTGTGGATCACAGGAAGTAGGCATTAGACCACGTCAGGGACCCGGCAGCAGCCAGACCACTCTAGTAATGTTAGCAGAGAGAACTTGATGTAACGAAGTTAACCAGGCAGTGGAGAACTGAAAAGACAGGAACACTGGGATTGAGAAGAGAGGCCATGGCTGCAGGAAGAGTTCCCATGGAGCTCAGGCTCAGGGCTGGGCAGCAGACCTCTGAGGAGGGTGGCCGCTGGGGCTCAGGGCCTCAGGGAGGACGAGGATGCTCCTGGGATCCCCTGCCCCCAACCACCTGGTGCTGCCATGAAAAGTGTCTCCATGCGATGCCAACCCAGCAACAAGCAGACGGGGACGAGCAAGCCGCCCCTCCTGCCCCCAGGCCCCTGGCTGCCCCTCTCAGTGAAGGCATCCCCCACATGTACAGTCATTTCTGCTTAAACGCACACACACTCCTTCAGGGCAGAAGACGCTTCTTCCCTTTCCCAGGTGCTTGTTCGGTGTGTGTCTGAGAGTGAAGAGTGGGGCGCATGGCAAGGAGAGGCTGGGAGGGCGAGTGCTTTTGTTCAGTGTTGCTTGAACCTTCAAAGCTGAAATGTAGGTATTTGAACACAGCTTGTCTTTTCCTCTACTAGAAATTGCCAAAAGTTAACAAAGAGCTGGCACTTAAATTAATCGAGGAGGAGGAGGAGAAGCAAAAATCTACGTGGAAAAAGAAAGTTAAGGTAAGCTTTCATAAGGCAAAGACGATATTGATAAATTGCTCCTACATTTTCTTGATAGTAAGAACGTTTTTTTTTGTTTGTTTGTTTTTACTTTAAAAATACACTTAGTTTTTTCCCCTGACTTATAAGATAGTATATACTTAGTTGGGACATTTGTAAAATAGAAAAGAATATAAGGGAGTCACCCATATAACTCCCCCTGGAGGGAAGCAGCATTAATATTTTAGTGAATTTCTTTCCTGTCTTACTTCTCTTAAAATTATAAACTATACTAGCAAGACACTCTTGTATATATAAAATATTTATCCTGGTTTCATAAAATAACACAAATAGCTTCCCATTTTATTAAAATTACTTTGTAAATATTTTTGAGAGCTTTATATTCTTCTAGAGGCCTGTTGCACAAAAAGATTCGTGCAATAGGCCTTCCCTTCCCCTGGCTGCTGGCACCGGTTTTCCTCCAGCACCCGGGACCCAGGCCTTCGCTCTGGCTGGAGCCGCCTTCAAAGCCCTGGCTGCTCTGGCCAGAGTCACCTTCAAAGCCCTTGCTGATTCGGCCGGAGCCGTCGTCAATCTTCACTCCACTGCTTCCCATCGTATGCAAATTAACCGCCATCTTTGTTGGCGGTTAATTTGCATATCACGCTGATTAGCCAATGGGAGGCGTAGCGAAGGTACAGTCAGTTACCCTGTTTGTCTATTATTAGATAGGATCTTGTGGATGAATTTTAATTTTTTAAAAATATATTTTTTTTTATTGATTTCAGAGAGGAAGGGAGAGAGAGAGAAACATCAGTGATGAGAGAGATCATTGATTGGCTGCCTCCTGTACACCCCACACTGGGGATCAAGTCTGCAACCTGGGCATATGCCTTGGCCAGCAATCAAACCATGGCTTCCTGGTTCATAGGTTGACGCTCAACCACTGAGCCATGCCAGCTGGGCTATAATTAGTCTTTTTATTGTTAATTGTTTTTTTTTTGCACTAGCTAGATTTATTTATAATTGCAGAAGTAACCAATTTTTACTTAGAATTGGCATATTGGGCGTGTGCATGCTTAACATTTAACTGTGTGAAAATAGACAAAGATCAGTCAGAAAATTGGGTGCTTTCTTTAGCCGGTATTGTCAAGATGGGGGGCGGGGGCTTTTCTGATTTTGCAGCTGCATGAAGACTTCCTCCCCAGCGCTCTTTTCTCATCTGCTTAGCCAGGCCGGCAGGCACCCAAGCATGGTTAGCGCTAGGAGTTGAGAAGGTTGCTTCCTTCTCAGGAGCCTGCGGGACCTAAATCTGGGTGAATGGCCTGATCCTTGCAATTTTGGGCAGCTGCGTTGAGCGCTCAGGTTTTTGTTGGCTTGTTTATTCTTCCTCTGTTCTCTATGTAGTTTTTAACAAGTAAGTGATCGGAAACATGCAGAGTGATCAGTGGGCAAAATCATGACCGCCTGTGCTTTTAAAATTTTTTTGTCAAAATATGAATCGGATCATCCTGTAAGCAGCACCGGGCTGTGTACTGTTTCTCCTGCGAGTGTGAGGAAGAACTTGGGAATTCTTACCTTCACAAACAGCTGTTTCTCTCCAGCCGCTGGACGCTGGAGCCGTCTCTGTAGCTGCCGCCTGGCTGAATTCTGCGAGGAAGCGCTGTTTGTAAAATGCGCCCCAGTTCGCTTTTTGGTGCCTGTGGATCCAGATCAGGCCCTGTTGTCAGAGTTCAGTTTCTGTTCAGAAGTGTTTAGAGTCTTCTAAAACCTGAGGCTGCTATTAAACACAGTTCGTATGATTTGTTGTTTAATAATGTTATCTAATTAAAATGAAGACTTTAAAAACCATCCCGGAACTAAAGACAGAATCCTTCATTATAATTGTAAAAAATACTTGAAAGAATTGTTAAATCCATCAGCAGTTCATTAGTCTTGCCTTTGAACTCAGCTCTTCAAACTCTCAAGAGCTGTAGCAGCTCTGATAACTCCGATTTGAAAGTCATGAGGTGCAGCTAGGTTCCGCTTTGGCTCCAACCGAACTTGCATGGAGTCAGACAGTGAAATATGTTCCCAAACATTGCTCCCACAACAACATAAAGTCTAGCGAGATGTTTACCGTCAGTTGATGTTGGACCTGCAGTGGAAAGTGACCCACCACGTAGCGTCATCTGGACCCTGTCCACGCTCAGAGGTGCTGGTGTTCGTTCCATTAAAAGCAAGTTCATCTGTCCTTGCAGCAGCCGTGTGCTGAGCTCCCGGCGCACGCAGGAGCTGGGCAGGCCCGGCACCCAGGACCCGTTTATTCTGTGAGGGTTTGAGGGTTAGGGTGTCATTTTCTGTCTATTGGCCTTTTCTGCCAGCTTTTTGCTGTTGCCTTTAGGTCTCTAGGAACGTATTTCTCTTGGGTTCTGCAGCAGCTCAGTCAGTATTGCCAGGCACGACTTCTCTGGGCCAGTGTATCCTGTGGCCCAGAGACCATGCGAGAGGCGTCCTCACAGCCTTGGCGGTTATTCTGTACCATTAAGAGTTTATATTGAACAGTTCATCTCTCTAGGGGAAAGGTATAATCGTGCATAGGCACTGGGCTGCATTATCAGTTCCAACATCCTAAGTATTATTTAAAAATCTTCTTTAGTACCAATTCTAGTAGTACACACACAGTTTAAAAACCTAATATTTCTCCAAGGTTTGTTAAGAATGTTGACTGCTCCTCGTCCTTTCCTCCTCTTCTTTCCCCTCCCCCCTTATCGTCCCTTCTCTCCCCTCCCCCATTTCCACCTCTCCTGAGATAAACCCTTTTTAGCTGATTATTTTGGTGTAAATCTCTGTGTCTCTTAGTAGTGCTGCTTCTTGACTGTTAAATGCCAGGCGTTGTCTTCTCTTACTTGCCTCCCACTAGCATCCTCTGCAGCTTTGGGTCAGTTGGTGTTGGGCATTTTTGTGGTTGTGACCATGCAGATGTTCTTCGCATCCAGTGGGAGTACACTTCCTGATCACACTTCCTGCACAGCCCTTGTCTTCCCTGGACTTGATAATGGACTTCTTGTTTGTTTTCTCTGTTGTCATCACTACTTAGCCCTCAATTCTTGGCCCATTGTCTCAGTTGCATCTCAAGATATTTATGTGAAGATCAGTAGTTAAATTTTGTTTTCCTGACCAGCCTCTTCTACATCTTTCTGCCCTGCTCCATCTGGCCTGGGCATCCGGGAACCCTGCTCCACCACCGTCGTCCTGGGGATCCGCTCCCCACCCCCCACGGTGGGTGCAGAGCTGGGGACCGGGGATCCTGAGGGAGGTGGCTTCCAGCCGGACGTGCGTCAGGCAGTCGGGAGGGTGAAGAGATGTCACACCTGCAGGTGCTGGACAACAACACATGACCCTCGTTGCTGCTTTTCCTCAGGAAGTTCCTTAGGATTTTCTCCTCCAAAACAAGAGGGAGGCAGGAAAGAGCGCAGGGAAGCCCGGGGCTGCTCCGCGCCACGCGGCAGGGCTGGCTGCTGGGTGGCCCTTTCAGTCCTGAAACTTGGGTGCTCCCGCTGGGAAGTTTTCTTGGGGAAAAACCGAAGTGGTTTCTCCCTGCTGTGGTCCGTGGTCGTGTGTTCACACTCAAGAGTGAAGGGTAAAGAGCGGAACGACGCGTCCAGGCGGTGGCGGGCCTGTCGGCTCTGTGTGGTGGCCTGGCCAAGCTGTTCCATGGAGAAGCTACGCAGACACTGTTTGTACCCTTTATGTATGGCCTTTCTCTTGGTGAGATTCTCCTGTTGGAGAATGACAGCCCGGCCACCAGCATTCCGAGGAGTGAGCACCGGAGTCTAGAGCAGTGATGGCGAACCTTTTGAGCTCGGCGTGTCAGCATTTTGAAAAACCCTAACTTAACTCTGATGCTGTGTCACATATAGAAATTTTTTGATATTTGCAACCATAGTAAAACAAAGACATATTTTTGATATTTATTTTATATATTTAAATGCCATTTAACAAAGAAAAATTAATCAAAAAAATGAGTTCACGTGTCACAGGTTCGCCATCACTGGTCTAGAGGGCTGCAGGGCGGGTGGCATCCCCTCCATGCCAACCGGTTCCCCTGCCTGCAGGCTGCCCCCCAGCCCCTCCCTCCCTCCGGAGAAGTCTCCGCTGGAGAGCCCAGGGCATAGGCCTTCCTCTCTTGCTTCCAGAATCTCCTTGCCCCGTTCCCTTTGCTGCCTCTGCATCCTGAAGGGCTGGTTCATTGAGGGGGGTTTTAGCGAGAGGATGCTTGTGCTGAAACCACCATCTTTTCTCAGAAGTCTGCATTAATTTCCCGGCTGTCATAGCATTGGAATAATTAATTGGTTTTAAATGTCAAACATTCCTCAGATGTGTTACTATGTTGGGAAAAATATTAATGAGCACCCTACTCAGATCTGCAGATCTGCTTCTTTGAGGTAGGGCTCAGATATAAACAATACTTACAGATGTTTTCCAAGGTGAATGGCAAGTGTTTGGTGTACATACATGAGTATTTATAGGCGGATCACTAGCCAGACACTTGTAAACTACTGTAGAACAGCACCCACTGCATCTTATCCTGTGAACACAAACAATTAGACGCGGAAAGTCTCTGGGGAAGTGTGTTCCCAGCTGGGTCGGAAGAGTTTTCATTCTATAATTGTTCCTCCAACTCCTGTTTGTTATAGGCAAAGCAATTTATTTGTTTTAGAGTGAGAAAAAATCTTAATCGTCTAGCACCGTGTTCTTTTAAACATGTTTCTGTTTCTAGAAGGGATGGGAATACCCTGTTTCCCAGGAGCTCAGTTGGAGCAGTGACTCTCACACAGGCCCCCCCCCACCCCCCACCCCGGTCATTCCTGACTGCTGCCCATGTGCTTCCTCTCCCGGTTTTGGGATGAAGTTGAAAGACTAATTTTATTTTTCCTCCTTTTTTTTCTTTCTTTCTTTTTTTTCACTATTTTTAATTCAGGATAGTAGCTATACTTAAGCCAGGTTTCAAAAACATAGATTTTCTTGAAAATGTTACTGAAGAAAATTCTTTCTAATGTATTAAGCATAAACTTAGTCAGAAAGGCTTGTTCTTAGCTCTTATGTGTGATGGCCAAGTAATGCATGTCATCTATGAATCAGTTCTGAAAACTAATTCTAAAAAAATTGCATAAAATTTGGTAAGTTGTGCCTTATGCAGCTTATTTATAGTGGAGTGAAACGTTGTACAGCCATCTTTCTGGTCAGGTTTTATTCAGGTTTTAACTTTAAATGTTTACGTTCTTTTTACAGAGCCTTCCTAATATTCTCACCGACGATCGGTTTAAAGTTATGTTTGAGAACCCTGACTTCCAAGTAGACGAAGAGAGTGAAGAATTTAGGCTTTTGAATCCACTTGTTTCAAAAATTAGTGAAAAAAGGAAGAAGAAGCTAAGACTCTTAGAGCAACAAGAACATCCTGACAAGGTACTGTACTGTTCATCACGTTGCCCCTGCTCCTTCGGTGTGACGGTCTCTGTGATCCGAAGGGGCCGAGTGGAGTTGAGGTGTGACGTGTGTGACCTGCGGCTTAGGAGTGCATCTTGGTCATTCCAGGCATTTTCCCGATGCGCGCGCTGTCACGTACTTGATGGGCTAATGCTATTTAAAAGAAATAATGGGCCAGTGTTTGGTTGGGGAGAGGAGCTGCTGCTGACTATTTTTATTTTCAGGAAGAGGAGGAAGAGCCGGAAGGAAGACCGAGCGATGCGGAAAGCTCTGAGAGCTCCGATGATGAAAAGGGCTGGGTCGAAGAGGTCAGGAAGCAGCGCCGGCTGCTGCAGCAGGAGGAGAGGGCGAAGCGGCAGGAGCGGCTCAGGGAGGACCAGCAGACGGTCCTCAGGCCCCAGTTCTATGAGATCAAAGCAGGCGAAGAGTTCAGGAGCTTCAGCGATTCTGCCGCCAAGCAGAGGCTGATGAAGTGAGTGCACGCCCTTGCGCCGGCAGGCCTTGCTTTTCCTCAGGGCACGTGGCCTCAGCATGGCATCCCAGGCTTTGGGGTTACGGGAGGGGGGCATCACCGGCCTCGGGGGGCACTGGTCTCATGATGATCCTGTTTCACAACTTCCTGAGGGGCAGTGCGCATGCGGTGAGAGGCAGGGGGAGCCTACCTGCTGGTAAATGCATTCCAGGACGTGTGTCTGCTGCAAAGCCACACTCCTGGGGCCCTCGTTTCTCCCCATTGGGGCCCCGAGATCACAGTCTTTGTCCAGTGGCCACTGAGCTCACATTCCTTGTCTCTTAACAACAAGTTATTGTAAAAGATTAGGGTTTCGGTTATGTTGACCCCGTAGGTTGCATAAGTTGTGTCAAAGCCCCTGTCGCATGGAATCTGACACCGCAGTCATCAATGTGGTGAAATCTCAGAGATTCCCAGAAGCCTCTGTGCCCAGCACCGGAGAGCAGGGAAGGTGCGTCAGCTAAAGTGAGGGATCAGGTCTGTCCCACCCTCCCCACGATGTGAATGCTTACGGAGTCAAAGCAGCACACGCTTGTTGTAGAAAATAAAGACAAAAACAGAGGCATAAAAGGTCCCCATTCCCCGGAAACCTTCCGTGAGAAAGTGCAGGGAGAAACTGGGCACCTGAGACCCGCTCGCCATGCACTAGTCCCGGCTGGAACCGGGGTGGAGAGGAACAGACAAACCCAGGGGCAGACTCCTCGCCGTCTAAGAGCAAGGAAGATCGCGCACACCCACCTCATCTTTGGTTCACCAGTTTCATGTCAAAGGAGGAAGGACAGATGTTGAAGTGTCTGGCAGTATAAATAACAGTGAAAAACAGGCTTAAGGCCAAAAGTATTAAGTCTTGGTGGGGCTTAGCACAAGTGACTCCATTTGGGGCCTGTTTGTTTGTTTGTTTATTTTTAATTTGTTTTTGTTGATTTTAGAGAGAGGTAGGGAGAGGGAGAGATAGAAACATCAATGATCAGAGAGCATCATTGATCAGCTGCCTCCTGCACACCCCACACTGGGGATCGAGCCCACAACCCGGCACGTGTCCTGACCAGAAATTGAACTTTGACCTTCTGGTTCATAGATCGACATTCAACCACTGAGCCATGCTGGCCGGGCTTGTTTGTTTATTTTTGAAGAATTTCTTTAGAGTATATTACCTAGTGATGGAATTTCCTGGGTCAACAAAAGGCCAGATCACCCTCCCAAAAGTCTTAGAGCACTTTGCGCTCTTACTAGAGTGTTTCCCCCACTTGCAACAACAGGGATTCTAGGAATCTTTCACAGACTGACCACGCTGATAACTGAGGTGTCGGAGTCCATGAGATAGGGGCTCTGACACAACATATACAACGAAGCTGAAAGCATCGAAATAGAGTTTTCAGTGACTTCCACAGTACATGTAAGTATCTGTCATAGTTATGCTGTATTTAAAACAAGTACTTAAATTTTAAAACACTTAAAATTCACCATTTATCTGTGGATCCCATTTCTCCATTCTCTGTGATGTAGACTATGGAGGGTGATGCCTTTATTTTGAGTTAATTTCGCCTTTCTAAATGCCAGACGATAGCACTGCCTTTATGAATGTCTTCCACTCCTCTAGTCCATTTTCACACAAAGTGATTTAAAATCTCTCAGTTGAGCATTACTGTTAATCACAGTTTTAATTAAAGGAATATCAGTGCGTGTATGCTGTAGAGCCTCCAACAAGTAAGTCGTTCCGCTGTCCTGGGCCTCTGATCAATATCTCATTCGATTTTCCTTTGTAATTCATGCCCACTTTTCCCCTTTAATGCAGCCCTACTGATAATTTAGTTTCCTCCTGTGCCTGCCCCATCCTGCCCTGAGTAATTCTTCTTACTTTCAACTTTCTGAAGCCTATCTCTGTCTTCTTGGCAACCCCCACAAATTTAGGGGGGTGATTGTCAATCTTGTGACAGTGAGATTTCCCCCCTGAAATGCTTTCAGCTCCAGGGGAGCCCGCAGCCGGCAGGCTGAAGCCTGGGTGGGAGAGCAGCAGCGCCAGGAGGGCGGGAGGCGGCGGGCGCTCAGCGCGCTGTTCCGTTCCAGTAGCCGGTTTCCGGGTCTGTCTGCTTCTCCCGTCGTCTCTGACTGAGCTCACACTGAGGCAGCAGCCCCGTCTGTACACTGACTCGCAAAGGCTTTCATGTAGCGGGCTCCTCGCTCGGTCCTGTGTCTGATCTCCTGCCACGGCTCCCAGCGCCTGTCTCTCCACGCAGCCAGACAGGACAAGTCCCTGCAGGTGCGCACCGCAAGTACGTGGGGAGAAGACCAGAATGGATGTGCCTGCCGTGGAGGAACTAGGTCATTCTTGAAAGAGTAGTCATTTCCACCATTTACTTGAAAAGTCTTTTTCTTCCCAAATTAGTGTTTTCTGTGTGCCACCTTGTCTCAGTGGCTCCATAGTTACTCACCATCCCTGTTAACGTTGGAACTGGAGGGTTTATGGCTCTGAAAGGGACAGAGAGGAAATGACAGGTCGAGGAACCTGCTGAGGCTGACAGTTCACACGTGAGGCGAGTCCGCTTACACTTCTCTTTTGAGCCACAATGAGCATCTTTGTAAAGAATTATTGTTTTTTTCAAAAAAGCTAAAGTCAGTCGTCATTTCATGCCGTTTGTCATGTGGGAGCTTGTCATCTAGAATCCTTACTGGATACGTTTCCTGAACAAAGCTTGATAAATCAAGTGTGGTCTGACACATGCCTGGGAACCAGAAGTCCTCACCCTGGAGTCTGGGTCTTACACTTGAATCCTGTGTCGCCTGGGGCAGGTCATTTAACATCTTACCTCCCTGGGGCCGTCTGTAAGGGCTGAGCGCTAGGAGGACGGCTGGCGGAGAGCTGCGAGGATGGATTCGGAGCTCCAGGTAACCGACAGAGAGCATGAGTTTGGTCTGGGGACTCCAGTTTCTGAAACTGTGAAACAGCAGAAGACTCTCCAGCTAGAACAAGAAGTGAGAAATCAGGACAAACTCATCTCTACACTGGAATTACAGATTGAAGATCTCCAGCAGATAAATCACGGCTTGGAAGAATATGTTAGGAAACTCCTGGAGAGTGAGGAGGTGGTAAGCAGTCAGATAGACACTTTAACGAGCCACAATGAGCATCTTTGTAAAGAACTGATTAAAATTGACCAACTAGCAGAGCAACTAGAAAAAGAGAAAAGTTTTGTGGTGGGTGCCCTCAACAAGGAACCTGAAGGAGCAAAGCATTTGAAGGACATTTAGAAGCAGCTTGAGGGATACGGGATGGCTGCAGCTTAACTGGAGACTGCGTGCGCCTGCTCCCGGCGCAGCACAGAGCAGTCAGCTTGAAAAACTTGAAGTATAGCTGACCTGAAATATTATGTCCAAGGAGCACTGAAGAAGCCACAGGGAGACTGATGCGTGCGCCTGCTCCCGGCACAGCACAGAGCAGTCAGCTGGAAAAACTTGAAGTGTAGCTGACCTGAAATATGTCCAAGGAGCACTGAAGAAGCCACAGGGAGACTGGTTGAATTCACTTGCCAATAAAATAATATAATGGTATTGGAAGATACATAAAAAATCTTTGCTTTTCTCTCTGTGAAAACGGACAGTTCGTGGTTCAGGCTGTTGCTATTGTGAGTGGGTGGTGAGTGGCCCCGGCTACACTCGGAAGGACAGGCAGAGCTCTCCTCGGCTGCTCTGCGGGGGACCCCGAGGCTCAGTGTGTGCAGTCCTCTAGGAGGCGAGCGAGGCGCTGAAATACTCACATCCTAGCCCAGGCAGAAGGGCCCCTGACCATTCCACTCCACTCCAGGCTTCAGAAACGGACTCAGGAAGATAATGAGTAGGTGTCTCTAACAGCCGTTACCGTGTGTCTGGTGAGCATGCGGATGGCCTCCCCTCTTCCCACTGACTGTCGAATGAGTGCCATTTCCCGTCGTTGCCACATGTGTGAAAGGTTTACCCTCAGTGATCATTGCTAATTAAAATTTGTTTCAAATGGTAAATCGAACAGTGCTAATTATGGTGCATTCTCTTAAATCTCTCACAGCAAAACCCTAGAAGATCGGCTGAAACTTGAAGCAAAAAATGGGACGTTGAATGTATCCGACACCACAGTTGGCAGCAAGCAGCTGACATTCACGTTAAAGAGGGTGAGTCGTTTTCTAATGCTCCTTCCTGACGCACTAACACAGGGCGTGCAGCGTGCCGTGGGAGCCCTCGCCGGCGTCCCCGCGCCTCTCCTGTGGGGCAGGCCTGTGGGCTTGAAGCAAAAAATGGGACGTTGAATGTATCCGACACCACAGTTGGCAGCAAGCAGCTGACATTCACGTTAAAGAGGGTGAGTCGTTTTCTAATGCTCCTTCCTGACGCACTAACACCCGGCGTGCAGCACGTGGGAGCCCTCGACGGCGTCCCCGCGCCTCTCCCGTGGGGCACGCCTGTGGGCGTCCTCCCCGGGCCAGGGCCTCGAGGGCTGAGGGCACCTGCGCGCCTTCCACAGAGCCGGGCGATTTCCCAGGGTCCTAGGGACCTGAGGTTGGCACAGCTGGTTTCTGGCCAGTGGGCACCCGAGAGTCGCCGTGTAGAGCAGCAGTCCTGGCACCCGAGGCCGTGGGGAAGGGTGGGTGAGGGAGCCCAGGAGTCGGAGTTCAGAGGGGACTGGCTGCCGGGGTCCTGTTCTCACGGTTCCTGAGCGCCTTTCCTCAGGCTCACAGGCCTGGCCCCGTCAGAGGAGGGACAGGTGCTTCCGTGTTTGCTGTAACTAATGAGTGAAACTGTATGGTTTTACTTTTCCAACATTTTTTTCTTCTCATTCAGTACATTTCCCTTAATAGATTTTGTTACCAAGTGGGAAAGGGTGTCAAAGATTCTACCTCTGGTTTTTAAAAAGTGAGATGTAGTTCAGATTCCTTCACATTCACCCTTTTAAAGTACGCATTTCAGGATTGACGCTGTGTAATCACCACCATTACCTGATTCTAGCACATCCTCATCACCCCAGAAGGAAACTCATTTCCCCCGTTTTCCTGGCCCTGGGCAGCCACCGGTCTGTTCCTGCCTGTGGACTTGTCTGTTCGGACGTTTCCTATAAAGGGAACCACACGGTGCTTCCCCTTGCGCCGGCTGCGCTCACTCACCAGCCTTCAGGGGGAGGCCACGCGGCAGCTGGGTCAGAATTCCTTTCCTTTCAGGGCCGAGTAGCACTTCATCGTGCGGAGAACACGTTGCGCTTGTCCACCTGTCTGTTGACGGACATTCAGGCTGTTCCCCTGTCCCGGCTGTTAGGAATATGCTGCCGTGGGACAGGGACAGTGGGCCTTGTCCTGCTGCTGCAGCCAGGGCCGCGTTTGTCAGGGCGCGGAGTCTGGCCAGACCGTGTGCCCTGGGCGGCTGGGCTGGGCTGGGCTGGGCTGTGAGTGGTGGCCGTGCTGTGGGCATTCCGGTGGTGACCAAGGGGGTGTGGGCATTTTCTTTCTCTTTCCCTCTCATTTAATTTTCTCCTTTAGTCTGAGCAGCAGAAGAAGCAGCAGGAGGCCGAGAAAATGCACCGACAGGAGAGGAAAGCGCTGCGTCGCCCGGCCGGCCACCTCAAGTCCAGGCGCAAGCGAGGGCGGCCCTTTCCCTGAGAGGATGGACAGCACGGACTCGGGAGCTCCGTCCTCCGCTGGTCATCGGGAGCACGCGGTGTCCACTCCCGCCTCCAGGGTCAAGACGGGCAACCTGTCCCAACGCCTTCGGGTCAGAGCGGCATGCCAGGGCGCAAAAGGTGTGCTCCTCCCCCTGAAGATCGCCCTTTTCCCGGTTTTCATCCAGTGGACCAGGTGGTTGGTTTTTCACCTTGTGACTGTGAACCATGACCGGGGGGTCCTGTGCTGACAGTGAAGGCTGAGCCTGTCCCCGAGCTTCCTCTCAGGCCGCCTCTCACAGTGCACCGCCCGGAGCACGCGTGGCTCAGCTCCTGTGCAGCCTTGGTCATGTGTGTGTGTGTGTGTATGTGTGTATGAGTGAGCTCATGTGTGTATGTGTATGTGTGTGTGTGTGTGTGTGTGTGTGAGCTCATGCGTGTATGTGTGTGCATGTGTACGTGTGTGTGTGTGAGTATGCTGGTAGGTGTGCTGCTGGTCTATATATCAGTTCGGGATTTTTAAAAAAATATTTTTATACCAAGAGAATATAAAGTAATGGTAATAACCTAAAACAAGAAATGAAAGCGACTGGGTGTTCTTTTATACTCAGCTCAAGATTACATTCAGACTTTTTTATGTTTCTCACCTGCATAGAGAGAAACTGGCTGGAGAAAACATTTATAAAAATAAAAATAAATACGCGTGTTTGAACAGCTTCTTTAAAAAGACCTTTCCTTGAGCTCATTTGAAAATTGACTTTGGTTTCCTTAGTTTCCCGGGTGTGAGTGTGATTCTGTGCCACTGGAGTGGCAACTGGAGCAGATGATAGGCTCTAACTGGGAAGCTGCAGGCTGTCCATTAGCGTAACAGGCTGCGAAGCTGCAGCTGCCTCGGCGCCTGGAACCAGGTCCCCATTCAGTCCCGCCTGTGTCTCTGCTCTCCTTGCCTCCTCCGGCTGGTCCCGCTCAGACCTCCCCTCTCTCTTTCCGGTCCTGTCTCTGCTCTTCTGTGCAGATGGCTTGCTCCACAGGCAGGGGCCGTGTGGCTCCCACGTCCACGTCTGTGGTCTGAGGCATAGATTTTTTTCCACAAAGTGTATGTCAGTGTCTGCGGATGTGTGTGTGTGTGTTGTGTGTGCACACGCAGAGACGGTCACCAGAAAGACCCTTGTCCCAGCTTGTGTCGGGGTGCCCGCAGCCTCCGCCCACCCCGTGCCTGGTGCTGGCTGCTTTCCTCCTTCAGCTTCTTGTCCCCTCCCCGCCCCTCATGCACCTCCTCTCCCAAAGGACGGGCTTCAGCTTCCGGCTTCTTCGCCTCCCCCGGCTGCCTTCAGGCCGAGGCTCAGGCTCGCAGTAAGAGGACTCTGGCCGGGGCTTCCCTGGGCTCGGCTCTTCCACTCCTGGGCCTGCTCCCAGGCCCCTTCCCTTCCTGGGGCACCCCCGCAGGTGTGGGAGCCCGTGTGCCCTGGTGCTGGGCCCACAGAGAGCGCAGGCTGCAGAGGGACTGCATCTGCTCTGGAGCGAGGCCCTGCCAGGTCTGGGCCTCAGCACCGCCAGGTCCCGGGGGGCCCGTCCATCTGGGGCGCTGGCAGCAAGCAGCCTGGCCAACGGGGAGGCCCTGTGGCCGACCCGGTCTGTGTACTTGGCCTATTTATTTACCTTGAGTCTCACTTCCTCCCAGAAAATGAGCCCAACACTGCGCTTTGGCGAGGGCTAAAGGAGGTTGCACTTGAGGGGAGCACCTGGCACAGACTGAGGCTCACGGGAACGTGACACAGCGTCTCTCACCAGCCCCCCCACCTCTGCACACGCCCCTCTCCACTCCCCTGTCCCTTAATGTGGAAGTTTGTCTAGAGCAGCGGTTCTCAACCTGTGGGTCGAGACCCCTTTGGGGGTCAAACGATCCTTTCACAAGGGTCGCCTAAGACCATCGGAAAACACATATATAATTACATATTGTTTTTGTGATTAATCACTATGCTTTAATTACAATTTGTAACAGTGAAAATACATCCTGCATATCAGATATTTACATTACGATTCATAAGAGTAGCAACATTACAGTTATGAAGTAGCAATGAAAATAATGTTATGGTTTGGGTCACCACCACATGAGGAACTGTATTAAAGGGTTGCAGCGTTAGGAAGGTTGAGAACCACTGGTCTAGAGCTTCTGTTCAGGGCACTCCTGAAAGGGCAGGCGCAGGGCCTGCTGGGACTCTGACATTTAGGAGAAGCCGGAGCCACGGCCACAGGATCCCCTCTGGCCCTGCGGGGAGGGTGGACGTGCAGCGTTAGGAAGGTTGAGAACCACTGTTCTAGAGCTTCTGTTCGGGGGACTCCTGAAAGGGCAGGCCCAGGGCCTGCTGGGACTCTGACATTTAGGAGAAGCTGGAGCCAGGGCTGCAGGATCCCCTCTGGCCCTGCGGGGAGGGTGGACGTGCCTCGGGCTTCTGTGAAGTCTTCTGTTCCAACATGTACAAGCTCCGTAGCTTCTCATTTCCTGTGTTTGCTGTAGGTTGCTTACTCGCCCTAGGACACCCCGTGTCTCCTGGGCCCCCAGGCTGTGTCAGGAGAGGACCTGGGACAGTGGCATTGAGAAAAGGCTTGGAAGCAGGAAGGGAAGTCGGCTGGGATGCCTGGGAGGAACATTCTGGGCAGAGATGCTGGAGAAGCCCCCAGAGGGCTTGTGAAACCGTCTGACTCAGTGGCTCGGAGGTGGGGCCAGAACTTTCTGTCATCACAGCCGCCACTGCTGACCTGGGCCCCGCTTTGAGGACCACTGAGCCAGAGCAGAGGCCTGGGGCAGGGTTTTGCCTGGACATTCAAGGAACAGCCTGTTGGCCATGTCAGACTCTTGTGGTGGAGGCAGGAGCAGGTTGGTGCCAGCTGGTTCCCGCCACGGCCCCACCACTCCGGGAGCCAAGGCCCGTGGGTGTGGGCTCTGCAGGCTGAGTCCACGGGGAGTGGCAGGTCCCGCCCTCTGGACCTCTGGCGCTGCCTCTCTTCCCTCGCGAATCCCGGCAGCGTCCTGGCCTGGCAGCCTTGTCTGCAGACAGACGGCAGCAGAGTCTGGAGCCCCAGACCACACTGTGGGAAACAGGCTGTCAGGGTGAGAGCTTTCAGAACCAGAGCGGGTCTCCTGAGTGGAGACGGAGGAAGGAAAAGGAGCAGGCCTGGCCTGGCCCAGACTTGCTGGCGGCTGAGGTGCTGCCAGTGGCCAGGCCATTTAATCCATCCGTGCCTCGGTGTCTCCATCTGTAAAATGGGTTTAATAATCTCTGTTCCCTAAAGACTTCAGAGGATGGTTATAGAGCTTAATGAGTGAGGTGCATTAAACTCCTCAGAAGAAAGGTGTAACTAAGTATAATGCAGTATTGTAATTAGTTCTCATGTTCTTTAAACCAGGTTGCATCTTGTTTTAATAGGGTTACCATGACAACGGGTTTATTTGAAAAACATGTAAAAAGGGCGTGGCTATAAATATCAATGATCAGTAAATGTTTTTTGCTTCTTTCTATTGTAATTAAGAACCTTTACCAATAGTCTTACACCGTCAGCCGGTGGTTACGGTGACATTAACTTCCGGGCAGCGTGCCTCGGCGCCAGGACTGCGGCGCCGGTTCTTGCAGCGCCGAGCGGCACTTGACACGCGACTTTGAATGAACGGCCCCACCGTGCCTGGCACTCCACAGGTCCGGGCGGTTGTTTCTCTGATAAAATGGAGATATAGTCGCAGTCCTGTCGTTCCCCACCCACACTTCACTCACCGCGGGTTCAGTTACCTGTGGTCCACCGGGGCCCAAAAATATGAAATGGAAAATTCCAGAAATAAACCCTGTACCAGTTTTACACTGTGCGCGTTCTGACTGTCGAGATGAAATGTGCTTCCCCTCTGTCCTGCCCAGGACTCGAGTCACCCCTTTGACCAGCGCCCCCACGGCTGTCACCGTGTCCCTCCCAGGGCTCGTGTTACTTAGCGACGGCCCCAGAGCGCCAGGGCAGTGATTCGGCAACTGGGACAGGCCAGAGAGGAGCCCTGGTGCGCTTCCGCCGAGTGAGGCTTATCTGTGCAGGGAAAACAGCATCTGTAGTGTTCGGTACCATCCGCGGTTTCAGGCACCCACTGGGGGTCTTGGAACGTATGCCCTGTGGACAGGGGGCACTTTTGTGTGGACGCTGGTTACATTAGTCCGGGTTCTCCAGAGGACAGACCAGTGGAGAGAGAGAGATAGAGAGAGAGAGGGAGATTTCCGACAAGGAATTGAACCCGTGCTGACGGAGGCCAGGTCCCGGGATGTGCAGGCAGCGGCTGGAGCCCAGGAGCCCAGGGTGTGGTTCCAGCCAGAACGCCGCGGCTCCAGGCCCGCGCAGAGCCCGAGGCCGCGTCCTCAGCCTGCCTGCTCCCACGCCGCCTCGGGAAAAACGCTGGTCCTCCTTTCTTCCTGGAGAGCTGCACGGCAGGCCCCCCGCGCAATCAGATGAAGAAACTCGACACTGAAACTGCCGGCTCACCCTTCGCCTGGGGAGTCCTCAGGCCTGGCCTCTGGTACAGGTGACAGGTGACATGCACACAGTGGGGGACCAGCCTGATTCTCGTGGGGCCGAGAGTGCCTTGAAAAAGGCATCGGAGTGGGAGTGGCCTACACCTTCGTAAACTTGATCAAATATGTGCTAGAGTTTCATCTATGGGTAACCATAGCAGCATCCTGGTCTGGGGGACCACACCCTCCAGACCTCCCACCTGAGAGCCCAGGTGTCATGGGCTCAGGTCACCCTGAAAACCTGGAGCTATCACATTCCTTCTTTACCCCTTAGTTTATTTATTTATTTATTTATTTATTTATTTATTTTTTGATTTCAGAGAGGAAGGGAGAGGGAGAGAGAAACATCATTGATGAGAGAGAATCATGGATCGGCTGCCTCCTGTACACCCCACACTGGGGATTGAGCCCGAACCCGGGCATGTGCCCTGACCAGGAATCGAACCCTGACCTCGTAGTTCATAGGTCAACGCTCAACCACTGAGCCATGTTGGCCGGGCTCTTTACTCATTTTTAACTGTTGGAGGGCCTGTCTAGAAAGCAGCTTCTGGGAGCCCCACTGCTCCCTGTCCCCGTTCCCTCCCTGCCCCGGCCGCCCTCCACCAGCCAGTGGTCCTGCTAAGACACTTGAGGCTGGGAGCCCAGGGAGGTACCCAGGCCCGAGAAGCCTTCTCCGGTTCCTTCCGCTCGCCGTGTTTGTGAAGGTCCCTGCAAGCACCACTGTGGAAAAGTCCTGGAACAGGAAACGGTCCCAGCCGAGTGTCTGGCTACTGAGAGTCCAAAAACATGAAGAGCGTTTCCTTCGCGGTTGCCACGTGCGCAGGCCCTGCCCGGATCCGCGCATCCTGCGGTGACTCAGTCGGATTTCCCTCCGTCCCTGTCTCGCGGGATTGCGCACATGAAGCTGGGGTGGCAGCGGGGGGCCCAGGCCAGCCTCGCTCCATCGCAGCACCGCCTGCCCAGAGCCGACACTGGCCCCCTGAGCAGGCTTTGCTCTGCTGACCAGGCCACTGCTGAATGGAGACCGCCATGCGGTAGATAAGTAACAGTGGCCTGACATGGGGGGCGGGGAGTTCTCTGTTTTATTTTAATTTTTTAAAATATATTTTTTTTATTGATTTCAGAGAGGAAGGGAGAAGGAGACAGAAACATCAATGATGAGAGAGAATCATGGATCACCTGC